TCCCCATATATATATATATATATATATATGCTAACTATTTCATTACATTAATAGTTTCTAGAGTTTGGATGAGGGTCCACCGTTGCTCAGTTACATGTGTGCACCCTTAAGCAGCAATTAGACCAAGCTTGAATAGACAACAAATCCTAGATGAACTAAGTCATTCACGAGAGTAACTAGTATTAAATTCAAATAGATATTAAAGTTTATTCAGCCTCTAAATTTTCTTAAATAATTTTTTATAGGAGACCTTTCAAAAGCTAGATGAGAATCAAACTAGCAGTCAGGCGGTATTGTGATCTCAGGTCATGACCTGTCTGGGTACAAGCAGTGGAGGGAGGCTACCAAAGGCAAGAAGAAGAGTCAGATCTATGAGTTAGGTCTCAGATGCAGGCCTATGACACTCATCTCCCTTCTAGCGCATCCAGAGCATCCACTTCTACCACCCAGAAGGAAGAGGTTCATAGGTAGGTTACCGCATTCACCGAAGACATTGAGACCAAAGTTGCTGCCAAGCTCACCTAAATGAGGTTGAAGATGGAGCCCAGAATGAAATTTAAATTAGATGCGTTCTGGCGTCAGGTAGAGCGGAGAGACGAGCAGTTGTTAGTGGATGATTTTGAGGAGGATGATGAGGAGGAATTTTTTTTTCTTATTTCTATATGTTTATTTGAAACAGTTTGAGAAAACATCTTAATTTTTTTTTAATATTCTTTTTGGTTGGTTTACTGCATTTCTTTTATTTTTGTGTTTCATTTTTGCATTAATTACTGTAGTTTTAGTTTAATGAAATCTTGGTTTGGTAAATTGTGTTATGTGTTATAACACATTGGATTTTTATGTGTTACAATTATAGGTGTAGAAATTTTAATGGGGAAGAACATATATATATATATATATATATATTTCTGTTGTACAATATATAATTATAAAATTGCCCCTATACCGTACCGCAGGGGCGCTGCCCCTACACCCACAACCCATATAACGTAACTCACCAGATTGGACAGATGCTTACGCTCCACTCCGCTCCAGCAATTGTCCCTTATCTGGCATATGAGTCATACCTAAGAGAAATGAACTTTCCTAGGAAGTCAACTACTTTAGGAGAAGCATTTATGAAGAACATTTATTAAGGCAAAGCGTTATCTAGATAATGATAACCAAAATATTTACACTAGAAGAAAATCAAAGAGAGAGACGATATCTCTTGCTATTTCTGTAAAAAATGTACAATTTTGTAATGTATTAACCTATACAAGGGTGAACATTATCATGCAAAGGAATTCTCGTCTAGATACTAAAAAATGACAAATATTTTTCTATTCTCTTTTCCTTCCTCAGCGAAACTTACTCCTTACTTCAACTCTTTTATTGGTGGTGTGAAGCCTCGGACAAATCACTATCCAACAATCAACATAAACGTGAACATTAATTTCAAATAATAATATAACACATACATGAAATACATGAGCTAAACAAGGAAAAACAATTTACCATAAAACAAACTCCCAGCATCTCCATTCTAAAAAATATATAGGAGATTCTTATATATATCTATATGTATGTATGTATGTATGTATATATAATGAGTTTGTATTCTTTAAATATACAAAAATAAACATATTTTAACACTTCTATAAATCTCTTATAATTTTGATAAAATATTTAGAAAAGAGCTGTGACACAATTATTTCATCCACTTCAGAGATATTTCAGAACACTGCACTGAAATAAGACCTGCTGTATATAGAATCCTTCTTTCTGGAGAACAAATCTCCAATCAGAGGAACGATAGGCTTCTTCTTCATGAGCTTCCCCTTTCTCTTCCCATTAACACCAGCATCATCAGCCTCCCCAAGTATCACTGCAGCGGCCAAAGATGGAATGTACTGATGCTTCACCTCCATGATTTCCTCCTCCTCGTCCTCAATGCCCCAATGGTCGCTTCCCACTTTCAAATTACTCTCTTTTTCCATGAAAACGCCACTAGCTGCCTCCATCTCCGCTAGCTTCGCTTTGTTCTTATGGAGCTCTGCGTTGAGTGAGGCGACAGCAATCTCTGTTTCTGATTCTCTTTCCTTGAGCAGAGTCACCTCGCGCTTGGTCGCCTTGATCTCAGCCTCAAGTTTCTTCATTGAGCTTAGAATTATGCTCAGCTCTTCATCTCCGTCTTGGTTGAATCTGGAAGAGGATGTGGAATAAGATGGAGAGGGAGGTGAGTGCTGAGGTTTTGGAGGAGGTGGCTGTAGCTTTGCTGTTGAACTGATGCTCTGAGAATAGGCTTCGCCGGAGAGAATACGTTCGCCGAAGCCGGCGCCCGCCTCCTTCACCGATTGAAAGGGTCGGCGGGTGTCGACTTCCGATCGACTAGAGGTCATGGTGGTGAGTGAAGGGGGCTTGAGGATTGGAAGGTGAAAGAGGTGATCATATTTGAAGCTGTGATGAGGAGAGGAGTTGGTTTCTTTGCTTCTACTGCAATGTAAGATGAGTTAAATATAGCATTGTGTGAAAGAAAAGAAGAGTTCTGAGAGGAAATGTGACCACTCACCTAATGCCTCTTCTCCACTTGTATGATGGAAATAGAGAAAAATAGATTGAAAGTGAAGTATAGAGGTTAGATATGTAAATATATAAGAATTGAGTGGTATATATGTTCGTAAATCTTTCTATGTACAGAATATTTTTTTACATAACAGTTGTACAATCATTTCTTAAAGTACTATTTCTTCTCATAAAAAGAAATATGTAAGGCAATGTTTGGTGATAAATTTATGAAAATATACCTCCATTGTTGATCACATGGCTTCTTGCTCATGTATCTCTAATTGCCTAGAGATTAATTTGAAGTGCATATTAAGTACACAATAGTAAATCATGGTAGAAAATGATTGATCAAGGTATTGATGCTATAAAAAAAAATAACTAAAATAATATTGCTCTCTTTCTTTCTGTCGTTTGAACAATAATAATTTGCCATAATTAAGAGTTTGATTAAGAGGTAATTCAACAAGTTTAAGTTTCTTAATCAAGAAATTAATAATATCATAAGTTATTTTCACTCTCTTTCTTGTGATGATATTATTTGCAAGTAACATGCAATCACAAACCAACCAACATAAAAATGATGGCAACAATAAAACTAATCATAATAACAAATGGCTTGCATCCACTTCCCTATTTATTCTCTCATGATTTTCATTCTCTCTTCCTTCAATCCAACAAATGGAACATTTTAGAGTTCTGAAATTCACATTGGAAGATTTCAGCGTTAAGAGTTCTGAAATTTACAGTCAAAATCTAAAGACTATGGAGGAAGATGAGATCTTCAAACTCATGATATCAAAATTTACCTATCTTTAGGTAGTGAGAGCCAAATTTATATCATCTTACTTTGTACGACCTAAATGCTTCTCTCATCTTATTCTTCTTATCTTAAACTAAATATCCCGACAACTATCATCGCCATGGTGCGATCTTCTCGACTTCAGACTTTAATCTATACATATTTGTTTAGTTCTTTGTCATTTCATAAAGTTATCCTTATGAGTCATTAAATGCCATATAAGAATTAGTTTAATTCTATCCCTAGTAATCCCTTCTCCCCATCGTAGATAACATGGATCCCCTGCATTTAGCTAGACTTTACATTCTTTATTTCTTGTCACCTTCTTTCAATTTGAGGTTTGGCTCTCAATCCCCCTCAAAAAAATCTTTAAAAAGAAGCATTGAAATTTGTGATTTTTTCTTGTATTTTTAAGTTTTGATCTAATGCTAAACTTTTTGGTGCAATCCATTACACAATTGGAATAAGAGTAAAGCTTCAACAATTTTATGAGGGGCCAAAATTACATGCATACCATACAATTCTTACGTATTTACATATTAAATATGTAAAAATTTAATATTTACACTTACAACACTTCGATGTCATAAACTCATGCATGAAAATGTGTACTTCACTTTTAAACAGTTAACAATAGTAATAGTTTTTTAGATGATTTAAACTTTTGAGTATTATAAATGTAAATAGGAAAATTTATGTGTTAGAATTGTGGTATGTATGTACATCCCTCCCCCTTTTCTTTTTGTTTTTTTTTTCTTTTTATATATTATGTTTGTTTAATTTTCTAAATAGTACATCATGCTGCTTATTTATCAAACCACAAAACATTCCACAAAACATTCCAACTCTCATGTATTTTTTTGTAAACTTGTTAGATTTTTTACATTATAATTATTTTTTTTTTTTGGAATAATAAGAGTCAAATCTCAATAAAATAATCAAAAAATATATATATATACAAGGTAAACTATATGACCTAATAATATATCAAAAGATAAGGCCTTGATTCTGAAGATGAACTTAACACAAAGCTCAAGTTCTTTAACTATCTTGCATTGAACAAAGTCCTCAGCACATTCCTCATCTTTGGCCTTGAATGTGGAGAGGTACTAACACAACTCAGAGCAATTTTCAAAACAGATAACATCTGACTGCGAACTGCAGGCGAAGCGCTGCAGACATTTGAATCAAGAATTTTCTCCCATTTATCAAGCCGTGCGGATTGGCTAACCGCCCATTTTGTGAGCTCGATCCCCTCGCTAACAGGCGGCTTTCCAGTCAGCAACTCGAGCAGGACCACCCCAAAACTATAAACATTACCAGCCATTGTCACCCTCATTGTGTATGCATACTCTGCAATAATAAAATAAGAAGATTCAGATTCCAATTGAGCCAATTTTTAGCCAAGCCCAGCTTAAACTCAACTTAAATTGAATCAGTAGAGAGCCAATCTATATAGATAAAGCATGGCTCAGCAACAGTGGAGAGCTTTACCTGGAGGAATATAACCAACTGAGCCAACTATAATGGAGAGGTTTCCAGTGCTGTTTGAGGGATCTATAACCTTACAAAGCTCAATATCGCCGATCTGAGGCTCCTTCATGGACTTCAAATGAATACTCTTTGTAGAAAGATCGAGAAGGAGAACGGGTTGATTGCAGCTATGCAGAAAAGTGAGTCCCTGAGCGACGCCAAGCGCAATTCTGTACCTCAATGGCCAATCCAGAGCGGTTTCAAAGCTTTTATGAAGATAATCAAAGACTGTGCCTTTGTGAATATGCTCATAGAAGAAGTAGGCACTGTCCTCAGTCAACACATAGGCTAATGGGACCATGATATTTGAATTGCTTAGCCTCCCTAGGACCTCAAGCTCCCTCTCAAACATCTCATGGCTGCCCATTTGTAAGACCTTCTCGCTCCAAATAACTTTTTTAACAGTGTAGTTTCTTCCATTGGGCATGGCTGCCTTATAGTAGGTAGAGAACCTGGTCTTAAACAGAGCGTTGCTTGGATCACCAACAAGCTCCATGGCTTTGGAGAAGTCTATGCTGGTCTTGTGATTGCTATCAGAAGTGATGTAATGGCCATTAACAATCTGCGGAACAGAATTCTCTTCCG